GGTGGCAGGAGACCTCATTAGGGAAAGCGCACCTTGGTTTAAGAACGGATTTGGTTTAAGAACGGACTTCCGGAACGGATTAAGTTCGTAAACCGAGGTACCACTGTATTGCTTCCTTCTGCTGCTCATGAAAAGCCCAATTTCTAAGCTCATTGTCTAGTGTCTGACTCTCTCCTGGTTTGAGGACTCTTAGCTGCTGAGCTGCTCAGGGTGAACAGAGGTCTCTCCTTGCCTCAAAGTCTCACACACCCATCACATAAACCATCCCTGTTATGGGGTGAGGCTCTTTGCATGCAATACTCCCTCCCACCTTGTTTGTTTGCAAATGGCAGTATTGGCCTTGGCCTGCCGGAGGACGACAACCTTTGGTGCTGTGTCAGAAACCATACCAATTACATTTCTGTGGTATACTTGCCCCTTTGGGGGTCAGGGAGAGAATCCAAATGTGCTTGGTAGTTCCTTTTTTCCTCCTCCACCTCAGGAAAAACAAAAACTTATTTCCTTGAAAACAAGGGCCAGTTGAAGCTGAGCCATGTTGGTGAATGCAGTGATGGGGAATCTGTGGTCCCTCCAGACGCTGCCACACTCCTACTCCCATCAGCCCACAGCCATTGTGGCCAATGGTCAGGAATGATGGGAGATGTAGTTTTGAATGATCTGGAGAGCCACATGTTCTCTGTCTCTGCGCAAATGTACAGTATGTCAAGAGCAAGACTGAGGAGATATATATATATATATATAGATATATATATATATGACCCCTCTTGCAAATGGTAGGCTTCGCAACATGGGCTGAGCTTTGAAATGCAATTTACCGTATTTTTTGCTCTATAAGACTCACTTTTTCCCTCCTAAAAAGTAAGGGGAAATGTGTGTGCGTCTTATGGAGCGAATGCAGGCTGCGCAGCTATCCCAGAAGCCAGAACAGCAAGAGAGATTGCTGCTTTCGCTGCGCAGCGATCCCTCTTGCTGTTCTGGCTTCTGGGATTCAGAATATTTTTTTCTTGTTTTCCTCCTCCAAAACCTAGGTGCGTCTTATGGTCTGGTGCGTCTTATAGAGCGAAAAATACAGTAAGTTTTGTGTGTGTTGGCTGATTTAAACACCTGCATGCGGTATCGGAAATACGGCCCTTCCCTTTCCCTTGTTGCACTGAAGTGTGTGAGTGAGGTATACACACACACACACACAGGCTGACATTTCCCGTGATCCCAGAACAGATCATACAAGGGATCCATATGATTGCAGATATACATATCGCAATGCAACCACATGTTCTGTCGCCCGTTCCATCGCGCATTTGCATCTGATGTGTGGTCAGTTCCTCCTAGCCAAATTTGTCGGTGGCAGATGATGGTACAGATGTTGAGAGTTTACCCCCATAATAGTTTGCCCAGCTGCATGAGGTCCTTTAGGCAAGAATTGCAAGTCCCCTCCTGCAAGGGGTGTGTGTGAAGACTTTTCATCCCCACGTCTTGCTAGGAAGACGGCCCTAGTCTGCCTTGCTATTTCAGCTTGTTCCGAGAACATGGAAGTTGGGTTGAGCTTGGCACAACACACATCCACATTTCAACTAGAATACAGACAGGCAGAACTGTGGGTCCTGCATTTTAGTCCCTTGTCCACCTCTGTGCATGTCAAACAACCAGGACTAGTTGCAGGATCGCCCCCAAGATGGCACATGTTCTGACTTAGTCAAGGTTTGGAATTCTACCTTTGAAACCTTTTATTGCAGTTCAGTTCTTGCAAAGCTTAGGCTGCTAGATTTAAGGTATGCTGACAGAATGAGGAACAGGCGATTCTGTTAAATAAACATTCACAACTTTATGGATAGGGAACAAATAATGTAATAAAGGGGGAAATATGATATTTGTAGAAAATAGCAGAATATCATAATGAGGATAATAAATCAGAAATGGAAGTTGAGGGAAGTCCAAAGGGGGGGGGAGGGAGAGATGTTATGTAAATTGTATGTTATAAGTATATTTGTAATGAGAAAAAAGAAAAATAATTTAATTTTTTTTAAAAAAAAGGAACGGGCGATTCTGGGGGAACTGTTGGCATTGCCAAACACCAACAAGGGCATTTGCCGCCCCAGATTGACAAAACACACACTGCAAGCTGAAAGACAACAAAAGGGCCACCTGTGAAGTTCAAAATGTTTTATTGACATTCTACGAGAAAGTTTCCGTTCGCTACCGAAGCACAAAGAAGCTCGAGCAAAGTTCTCACCTTGCTCTTTCCCCCCCTAAGCCAAGATAAAAAAGAAACTTCTTTTAAAATTTAAAATAAGCTTTATACAAATCAGCCCTATATACATTCCCCCCACCTTTCTCTCCTTATCTATTATACAAGGCGACATAAATAGCAACCTTGACACTGTACAACATTAGAGAATGCTTATTAAAATTGCAGCTCTTTGTTTAAAAAATAACAACTCCCTCCAGCTTTATTGTTTTTTTAAAATCCAAGGTGGATTTGTTTTTTCTTCTTCTTTAAAAAATAAGCTTTCCTCTCTGACAATAGCTTAACATGATGCAAGTAGAGCAACACTTAAGACAAATTTTCACTTTCTTTTTCAAAAATAACAATAACTTAAATTATTCCCAAAGTATTTTAAATATCTCCCTCAATTTTTAAAATAAACATTTATCCGCCATCCAACCCCTTACAAACCCTAATGTGAAGGTCAAGGGATATAAATTCCCAAGCCAAATATTTTAATTCTTGGGGTAATTCTGAAGCATCTCTAAAAGGGTTAAGATTTCTCTTTCTTTTCTGGGATTTTGGTTTGTTTTATTTGGCTGGAAGGGAAACAAGAATCTGGTCCCTTGGAACACAGTAATAAACAGGTCTACCAAAGTAAAACAAAAGACATGAGTTCAGTAGAAATCGAATCCTATGAAAGTGGGCACAGAACTATATGGGTTGCCATATTTCAAGAAACAAAAAGTTTTGGGAAAGTTGAGATTTTGGGGGGATTTGGCCAAAGAAAGATATTGAGCTTTTTGCGGGAAAGTTTCAAAAAACCTGGACATTTTTATGACAGCCTAAAAGGAACTCAGAAGCTGTTTTGTACTGAGTTTTATACCATTGATCTCTCTGACTCAGTTTTGTCGTTAACAGAGATGGGAAACTTATGGTCCTCCAAGATGCTGTTGTCTCTGACTCCCATCAACCCCAGTTAGCACAACCAACATCGAGAGGACCACTAGTTCCCCATATCCATGAAACAGAGTTTCAGACTGGGGAGATTCCCAGCACTAGCTGGAGGTGCCAGGATTCAACCTTGGGACTTTCCCCATACAAGACATGTGCTGGGTCACTGAGTTATACAGCCCATCTCCTAACCTGATGTAAACATGGAATAACCCACGATAATTTGGGCCAGGTTCCCTCTCCCCATGCCTTCCTCCCAGCCACCATGCCACTCCACAACACCGACTGGTGTAAAGCAAGGACCCAAACATTTGTCCTTCCAATCCTGTGTAAGCTGAATGCCCTCTTGCGTAACTTTAGTTCAAAAAAAGAGGTAGTGCAGATGGGCAGTGTCATAAAAGAGATCAGAATCTTTCACACACACACCATGGCAAATAGGTCTGTCAGAGGATAACTCAGTTGGTTAGAGCATGAGACTCTTAATCTCAGGGTCGAGAGTTCAAGCCCCACAACAGGCAAAAGATTCCTGCATTGTGGGGGGTTGGACTAGATAGATGACTCTTGCGGTCCCTTCCAGCTCCATATTGGTCCATATTAAACCTGGACTAATGTTCCTGGGATCAGAACTTTTCTTCCTGCATTGGGATTTTTATCCTCAGTTTATTCCCAGTTGAAGAACTGGGTCTAAGCCCACCTGTCTGGCTTTCCTAATCCAGAGGGCTTCTGGAGTAAACCTGAAATAGCCACTAGTGAGATCAGAATTGGTCCTTTCCATCACAGCTCTCTGAACTTTCCCCTCTGTTCTCTTTGACCACAAGCTCTCCAGCACTATGTTAACACTGCACACCAGGAGGGGAAACCTTTGACCTTTCGGATGTTGCTGAACTACAGTTCCCATCAGTCCCAGCAAGCATGACCAGTGCCCAGGGATGATGGGAGTTGTAGTTCAGCAACATTTGGAGGGCCAAAGATTCCCCACACTTGCTATATGCTGCCCAGTTTTGTAGAACAGTCATGCGTATTTCTAAGGAATTGGCTTTCATCCTAAATTTATTATATATGTGTGTGTGTGTGTTTTTATAGCTGTGACAATGTTTACTTGCCCCCAACATCTCTTAAATGTTCCTTAAATTAAAAGAAAAAAAAATCTAGCTAGATATTATTTCTGGGAGGTCATGTAGGAATAGAGAGAGGTGGGTTCGTTAGACTGCCCCCATCCCCCAAATGAATGGACGAGTAACAACAGAAATCCTGCTCCTGTCATAAGTGACACTGATCGGGCTTTGAAACCTTGCCAGATCTTTCAGAGCTATCCAAGGAGATCCCTCTCTGAATCGCTTTGCTTGGGAAAGTGAGCAAACAACACAAAATCAACAAAACAAGAGGAAAGTTGTATACTTCCTTCTCGGGAAGCTGGGGCGGTGCTATGTGTGATGCTGGGCTTCTCTCCAACCAAGCAGAGAGCCTTCTGACTGAAGCTGGCGGTGATGCTGATGATGATGATGGAGAATTGCCTACAGATAAACCACGCAGGAAGTTGAGGAGGTTGGTCACGTAGGGCGGGTGAAACCAATTTGGCTGAGATACAACATGGACTATGAGCTTCCCTCCCTCCCTCCCGCCCACCTTTCCCTTTCCCTTGTTTTTAGATGGTCTCTCAAAAGTCTTAGCCTTTACTGCAGCTCAGTTGTTCCTGAGATGGGATGGAATGTGTACATGTCCTGCAAAACACATCAAAGAGTTTTGACTTGTCGCTGTCTGTCTGTTTCTCCCTGTCTCCCTCCTCTCTCTCCTTCATTCCTTTTTTCCTGCTCCACTGGTTTCATCAAGGAGGCAAAGGAGGTTAATATACCGCTCCAGGATTGGGAGGAGGCCCTGGAGATGGGTGATGCATAGAGCCAGGAGTGGGAGGAGGTCCTTGCTGTAAGTGAGGCCCGCTCAGGTTCTGATGATGGTACCAGGGGCTGTGCTCCTCCAGGTAGCTTGGTGGGGAGTTATAGGAGAGTGGCTGAGGGAGCTGGCTCCGGCCGGCTGGGTTGTTGTTGCTGCTGTTGTTATTGTTGTTGTGGGTGTTACTGTCCCAGAGGGTGGGAGATGGCGGAGAATTGCAAGCCATGGAGTCACTGTTATTGGGACTGTGTTCCAAGGGGACCTCTCCATTCTTGTACAGTTTCTTGAACTTGGACCTTCGGTTCTGGAACCAGATTTTCACCTGAGAATAAAGAGAGAATGAAAAATGAAAAAGAAGAAAAGGTTTCACAGCTGTGTGGTAGGACTGAGAGCTTCATCTGTGGCACTCTGTGTTCTGAAATCAGGGTATGGGGTGGAAATAATAATAATAATAATAATAATTTAGTATTTATACCCCACCCATCTGGCTGGGCTTCCCCAGCCACTCTGGGCGGCTTCCAACAAAATATTAAAATACAGTAATGCATCAAACATTAAAAGCTTCCCTAAACAGGGCTGCCTTCAGATGTCTTCTAAAAGTCTGGTAGTTGTTGTTCTCTTTGACATCTGATGGGAGGTCCTTCCACAGGGCGGGTGCCACTACCGAGAAGGTCCTCTGCCTGGTTCCCTGTAACTTGGCTTCTCGCAGTGAGGGAACCGCCAGAAGGCCCTCAGCGCTGGACCTCAGTGTCCGGGCAGAAGACATCCCTACCATGGACTCCTGAATGGAGAGAGTTGTCACCGCTCCTTCTTGGTCCATGTGGTGGAGCACATGCTTTGCATGTTCCAGGTTCAACCCCTGGTTTCTCAAGTTTGGGTTGGGAAATACCTTTTCCTGAAACCCTGGAGAGACGCTGCCAATCAGTGTGGGCAATACTGCGGTAGATGGATCAGTGGTCTGCTTTTGTTATAATGCATCTTCCTATGTTGAGTGCTCACTTATCCCAGATCATGTCTACCTTAGAACGCCAAAGAGGAGGTGGATCTCAACCAAGACAATGTACCAGCATCTAAAATACACATTCGGTGGCATGGCCCCAATCCATGGCCCCAATTTCATGCACAGGGGGCAAGAGGTGGCCTATGCCTCTTATTTTCCCAACTGCATTTCTAGAGATGATCATGGAAGCTCCCATCAATCCTTTTTGAGTGGTGTGTAGAATAGATGTCAGAGGGAAAAGAAGGACTGGAAAGACCCACTTGGTGTACTTAATATAGAATTTTGGAATTGGGTTGTAGCTCTACAAACTGCTAGCGCTTCTAAGAGCTCCACGCTGTACCAGGCAGAGACCCCCACACCCAGAGACCACTGTTGCCTAGAACTCAGAAGAACTGGGACTTCAGCGTTCTACAGAGTTGCTCCATCACAATGAGCCAGGATTTAACCCGAGCCAAAGCTTGTCAGCTTTCAGTCATCGCATTTCTTTTCCAGCCTAATCTCAGCCTGGGAAGACATGGAGAAACAACATTTGCACCTCTGAACTTGTGTACGGTTCATGCTTTGAGTTACCACAGCAAAAGACATCTCTGGAATTGTGATGGGACTTCCGAGAATGTACACCTCTCCTTCTGTTTCCAAATAAATAAATTGTTTCCAAGAGGAAGCCGTCCTCAGGCAGAAGTGCCTGCTTGAGACGAAGGCAGAATGCATAAATTCCACACATGGTCAAAGAGTTCAGACGAAGCAAGGGGAAAATGCCCCTCTTCCAAGTAGGAGTGGGGGAATCTGTGGCCATCCAATTGTTGTTGGGTTCTCAACTCGGTCCCAGCCAGAATGGTCAATGTTCAAGGATGATGGGAGTTGGCCTCTAAAAACATTTTGCAAGGCCACAGGCTCCCCATTCCTGCTTTAACTGTAGTCTAGACTCCTTGGACTCAAGGTAAAATGAAATAATAAATATATTTCCCCAAAACTTCCCCACCCCCCATGTCACACTCCCTAGAAGAGGTGCCACATCTACCCATTTTCCCAAAACAATCGCCCTTTCCCCCCAAAACCGATCTTTCGAGAAGTCTTGATGACAAGCTCTTTCGGAACTTTTTTTTACAAGTCCTCTTGGGCTGGGAGGACTGAGGTGACGAAACTTAGGGCAGGGCTGGGAGGGTGGCCTAGCTGGCTTGGAGCCTTTCTGATAGTGCTCTGAGGGCTGCGGTGATGACTTCACACGCGCCCCACTTTGGAGAAAGAGCCGAGGAGCAGCGAAAGAAAGTGGGTGGTAGGTGGGGAAGGAAGAGGCAAGGGAGGAAAGACTAGAGAGGGAGAGAAACTCCTGGGAGTCAAAACAAGGAAGGAGGAAAGATTAGGACTCCTTTGTGCCTGGTTGGGAAATAGCCATATTTGTGGGCGGGAGGAGGGAGGGTGATTTCTCCCCCAAGGTGGTGACTGACGCTGCAAACCTGGCAACGGGTTCCTATGAGCAAAGTCAACTTCCAGTCTTCCAAATTGCAGCCTTCGGTATTTGTTGCCTGTCAATTAATTAATTCGCGAACGGATAGATTGCTAGGTCACGAAGGACTGAGCACGTTACCTGAAGTCAGCCAAAGTTCTCACAGCGTGTGGTTGCATTAGAGGGCAAGGGGAAATTACGTATTAGAGTCTGTGCAAGCTGGCTGTAATTAAGGAACACACACACAATGGGAAAGGCCCTTTCCAAAGGCCAAAGGGCCCAATCCACCAGCACATTCTCCCTGCGAGCTCCGCTGAAATGAATGAGAAGCTAGGGCACTACTGCAAATCGTGACCCCTTAATAGTATTCCAAAATAGGCAGCAGTCCTATATACAGTGGGAAGTAATTTTGGGACTTCCATCTGACTGCAGATGTCTAGGACTGAACTGTTAGTGGTCCAGGACCAACAAGGAAGGAGCAAAGTGAAAAAGAAGTCACTACGCTCTTTTCGGAGAAAAGGAGATGCCAAGACAGAAGCAGAAAGAAAAGCACCAGGGTCATGTCCACAACACACACCCTTTCCCCTAAAGGAATCCTGGGAATTGTAGTTTGCCAAGGGTGCTACAGCTCTGTGCGAAGTAAACTACAGCCCCCAGAATTCTTGCGGGGGGAGCTGTACCCTTTATGGCGTGGCTGCCTGACAGATCAGCTCGATTTCCAAATCCAAAGAGGCATTTCCAAAATCAACCAAGATTAAAGAAACAGCTCCCCCTCATGTCCAAAGAAAAATCAATTGGGGCTGGTGTGTGTGTGTGTGTGTGTGAGAGAGAGAGAGAGAGAGAAAACCAAGCCTTTGAAGAGGTCCCACTAAAAACAGTTCAGAACAGTTGTGTTTAGGACGGGTGCTCCTCGTGTGTGAAAGTTTTTTATTTTTGCAGGGTTCACTCAACATCATTAGCATCAAAATGTCAGCCTGTATTCCCCGCCCCCGCCCCCGGCCAATTTGGACCGGATTTGCTCTTGGGGGGGGGGAATCCATTCAGGTTTTTAGAAGAAGGAGAAGAAGAAGAAGGAGAAAGAGAAAGGGAAAGAGAAAGAGAAAGAGAAGGAGAAGGAGAAAAAGAAGGAGAAGGAGGAGGAGGAGGAGGAGGAGGAGGAGGAGAAGAAGAAGAAGAAGAAGAAGAAGAAGAAGACTGTTGCCAACAACCTGTTATCTCAGTGTCACATTTGCAAATTAAGCCTCCTGTCTGGAAGCACTGTAAATCTATCGATGATGGCACCTTCTTCATTTCAGAGCATCTTAGCTCTGAAAAGCTTCCTAAAATGATCAAGCACACCCATCAGGTCCTCTCCCAGCCTCTGCACACTTTTGGACAACAAACACTGTTCAGCCTCGTAAGGAGGTCAGAAACACCCAACCTATAAATCCTAGTGACATCTCGAGCAAAACAAGAAGAACGGATGCATTCATTTTGGGGAAGCGATCCTGGGCTTTCAGTTACAGAGCTCATTTGGTGAGATATCTATTACAGGGTGAACCTCCAGCCCTCTGGATGCCAATAGACTCCAATTCCCATCCCAGGTGAACTTTGGAACTCCCTCCTGTTGACATTAAGCAGGTGCCTTCACTATCATCTTTTCATTCATAAAGTCATTCATAAAGAAATTCTTGTTTAGACGTGTCTACACAGATGCTTCGAAAGTTGGGGTAATTTTGATCTGTTTTAGTATTTTAACTTTTGAATGCTTTAAAGTAGGGTTGTGTTCCGCCCCTCGATTTTATTGTTTTACCTTTGCATAAACCACTTTGATGCTTTTTACCAGGAAGCAGTGTATAAATTTCATGAAATGAAATAAACAATAGGAGTTATAGGATTATAGTACCATAGAGTTTGAGGCTCATCTGGTCCAAGGTTTTTTTGTTTTGCAGTTGTGTTATTTGTGCTCCTATTGTACAGTGGTACCTCAGAAGTCGAATGTAATCTGTTCTGGAAGAATGTTCGACATCCAAAACGTTCGATTTCTGAGGCGCAGCTTCTGATTGGCTCTTACAATCAGAAGAGCCAATTAGAAGCTGCTTGTCTGCCACGTCGGATGTTCAGCTTCCAAAAAACGTAAAACTTACTTCTGGGTTTTTGACATCTGGGAGCCGAAACGTTCAGCAACAGAGACGATTGAAAACCGAGGTTTGACTGTATTGGCTACAAACAATAAAACTGATTGATTGATCTGGTCCAACCCCTTGTGGTGCAGGAATGCAGGGATCGAACCTGCAACCTTGGCGTTATCAGCACCACCCTGTAACCAACTGAGCTAGTCCAACAACAACTGGAGGGCCACAGGTTCCCCTGACCTACACACCATATATTTAAAGCACATTTCCAACCCCCTAAAGCAGGAGTCCGCCTTGTGGGCCTTATTTATTGGGGTCAAATCCTAAGAAAAGCTCAAAAACTTTGGGGTACAATCCTAAAAAAAGCTCAAGAACTTCGGCCGGCCCCCACGCATGTTCACTTCATCAAATCTGGCCCTTTAAAAAAAAAGTTTGGGCACCCCTGCCCTAAAGAATAATGGGAACTGTAGTTTATCAGCCCCCTTAATTACAGTTCCAAGGATTCTTGTGGGGGGGTGCTTTAAATGTATAGTGCATATGCAGCCTTAGTAATGATGTGGAATAATTTATGATCATGGAACGGCAAGGGACCTTGTAGAAGCCTCCAAGCTCATCCCAACTTGGCCACCCAGTGTGTCTCTTGAGCAAACAACAGGTACATTCTAAGCAAGGAGTTTCAGGTGACTCAGGCAAGCGAGCCAAGCCAAGCGCCCTCCTGCAGGAGACAAATAAACACCAGCCTAGCCAACAGGACCTTGGGGAAAATTCCTGTCTCGATGATCACATGGCAAAAAGCTCCAGGCGACTCAGGGGAGTGAGCCAAGTGCTACGCTGCACCAAATTAGGGGGGAAAGGGGGTCACTAACCAATGTGTGACCCCGGGGAGTCACCTGACCACCATGAGGCTGTGTCAGTGTCACCCCACCCACAACATGCACCCTGAGAACATTTTGCTGGGGGCAAGGGTGAGCGTTCTCAGGTGGCCATGAGCGTGCTATATCGCCGCATCGTTCTTGGCAGTATCAGGCAGCCCAGAAGCACGCCAGCTTGCTGCCTTATTTAGATCGCGGCAATTAAGAAGGCCGACCTTTTAAAAGAGAGGGAGCAGAGGGAGAAGCTTTGCTGTCATCAAAGTGCTTGGCCAACCTTGCGTTCCATCTTTGCTTCTTCTCCCTGACTGACCTGCTTAACAGGGATAGTCTAAGTGAGGAGGAAATAAACATTCAAGGCTTCGTGTCCGAAGGTGGGAGGGATGAAGCGAAGGAAACCAAGATGGCCGTCCGGAATTCGGCATTGATGCTCGTGAATTTAAAGACGAAAGTTTTCTTTAAAAAAAAAAAAGATTTTGAAGGAACTAAGATCTTAAGAGTCAAAATGTCAGGGCTAGGGTGTGGAACAGCAGCTGTAACTGGTAATGCACTTGAATGGGATGGAGTTGGGAGAATATTTTTATTTACTTATTTAAGGCCTTTATATACCGCTTAGGTAAAGTTAAAGCAGTGTAGATTAAAATAAATCAAGTCATCTTGTCCAACACCCTGCAACGCAGGAATCTCCACTAAACATCCATGACAGACGACCATCCAATCTCTGCTTAAACCATACAGAGAATTTTTTAAATCATCATAAAGCCAAACACAAATCTGATTTATATATTGTATATCAATCAAGGGTGGGGAAATTATTACCCTGAAGATGTTGTTGGACTCCAGTACCCATCAGCCCCAGCTGGCCTGACCAGGACTTTGGCATGATGTGAGTTGTAGCTCGACAACATCTGGTGAACCACCTCTGGTTTATACTATTCTCACAATTTTAAATTATTTTTTTATACCACATTTCTAATTATACATGTTGTTCCAATTACACTTCTTCCTCAAGGAAGTTTATCCTGTTGAAGAAGACGAATTAACACTATGTCCCTAACATTTTTCAGTCTCAAGATTTTAGATCCTGTAGTAAAATAAAACAAAAACTTCACCTGCTTAAATTCATGAGGAAATTCAATTTCAGCTCAGCCAAGCTCGTCTCTCCCACAAAATAAATACTTGCTTTCAATCCTAGGGAACCATCTGTATGTGTGACAGGGGGTGAGGGGTGGGATCCTGCCCACGTAAGATTTTATGAGGTGAAGAATCCTTTGAATCTTTGCTTTTTGCTGAGCTATTTTAGCACAGCTAATTGTAAGAATGGGCAAACTGGTCTTGCGGATGCTTTTCAAGGTTAGCTGGATCCTGTCCTTTCCATCACCACCCAGGGAAAACCTTTGAGAAGCAGGTTATGCTGGGAAGAAGAGCTGAGCGCAATCTCCAATTGCATGTGAGAGCATTTGTGAGCAACCACACGTCTTCAACAAAGCACCCCCCCAAAAAAAAGGATCATGGGAACTGTAGTTTACCCCTCGCTGAGCTACAATTCTTTGGGGGCTACAATTCTTCACATGTCTGGTGCAGGTTTTCTGCTAGAGATCTTTTTGCAGAGGCTTTTTAGAAAGCCATCAGTGGAGACGCTCTAGATCTGAGCAGGCGATACACATCACCAAGCAAGGAGCTGGATCAGATAGACCAGGGATGTCCAACAGGTCAATCGTGATCCTGGGAGGTTTTGGTAGATCACAGTCAATCGCTGGGTCCCTTTCCTTAGTGCTGGTAAAATCGAACCCTGCCCTACCCCCTTGCCCTGTCCTCCACTGTTGCAATATCTGCAACATGGAGTCGCAAGATGGAGTTTACTCAGTGAGGCTGTTTGTTTCCCCAGCGATTTGTTGTTGTTTCCTCTTTCCCCCTCAAACCCCTTAAAAAAAAGGGCTCCTCCATAAAAAAAAGCTCAACAATTTTGACCTGAACAACCCCCCCCAAAAAAGGGGGGTAGATCACTGCCAGTTTTTAATTCTGTAAGTAGATCGCAGTCTCTTGGGAGTTAGCCACCTCTGCACAACTCTATGATGCCATGCCTTTATCTTTTACCAGGCATAGGCAAACTCCGCCCCTCCAGATGTTTTGAGACTACAATTCCCATCATCCCTGACCGCTGGTCCAGTTAGCTAGGGATGATGGGAATTGTAGTTCCAAAACATCTGGAGGGCCGGAGTTTGCCTATGCCTGATCTTTACTATACAAGTTCCGAAACGGAACCCTGGGCTTGGAAAGATTCCGATTCTGAGCCTTGATTGGCGCGGGAGACGAGAAGGACTGCTCCAAACCCATCTCTGTGGTTGCACCAGATAAGAGGTCAGCGACTCTTCAAGTCACCCTGCTCCTCCTTGCCTCGATAGCCGCCGCCTTCCAGCCAGAGCTTGGCGTAAACAGCGGAAGTTGCATGACTGCTATTATGTCCTCATGCCTCTGCCTCCCCAAATTGCAGCTGGAGTAATTGGGTCAAATTGCTTCTGGCGTCGGACGTCCTACTGGAGAGGGCCTAGCAAAGTTTCCAGGCAGTTTGCTATAGAATATATATATATATATATATATATATATATATATATATATATGAGAGCGAGAGAGCGAAAGCTGAACAATGATATGAGCCTTCTGTGGGCAGTTCTGCAACTTTGCAATACGTAAAACTTTTATCTCCATGTGCTTTAAAGGGCAGGCAATCCATCCATCTTCTAAACAATCCAAAGGATCACTCCTAAGCGTTTACCTGAAAGTAGGTCTGTGGTTATCTGCAGACTGTACATCATGATGCAACCCCTGCATTTTTAATAGTGGCGTTGAAGGAGGAATTTCAGCAGCTGGATTTTGCATACCAAGCTACACCTGCTGAAATTCCCTCTTCTGCACAACAATTAAAGGCGCAAGAGCCCTGCCCCCCCTTTTTTTACATCTGGGCACCCAGCTATATTGCCTACTCAGAAGTAAGACCCATTGAGCTCAATGGGTTTAGGCGGGCTTTGCAATCCACACTAAGCTGAGGAATGGATGGGCCTTTACTGGCTGGGAGTGAGGCCCACGGAACACAGCAAAACATCCTTCTCATGTAGATTTGCATGGTTAAGTTTCACAGGAATAACCGACTGAGTTTTACTTGCAATAAAATGTCTACCAGATAAGGCCAGAGAGCTAAGTTTAGGCAATCTTCCAGCTTTGGGGTTTTAACTTAGGTTTCGATGCGGCTAAATGCCACCGGGCCTGTTTCTGATTTCCAGACAGCAATTAATTTCACGGGCAGAGTTCGAATCCAGAACTCTGACACGAAACCCCTTCCAGGTATATGAAGAGACGCTAGTGGGAAAGTGAGTGGTGAAAGGAAGGCACTCTGCACATGCTTAAAGGCAGTCTGGTCCTAATGACAACAGGTTCCAGTGAGCCTTGGCCCAACTTAAAACCTTTCTGTTGAGTTTTATCCTGGGAAAATCGAACAAGAAGCCAGAATTGTACACTGGCGGAAATGACTGGCAGAATCCGAGACCAGGGAGAAGAGTCGGTGAAAGAAGACTGGAAGAAATTTAAAGACTATTTACAGAAATATTGTAAAATTAAGGAATCTTAGAAGGATGTTGGATAGAAACTAAGAGCTTTTTAGCTGTAATGCTTTAAGAGATATGAAAAAAGGTTTACAATTGGGCAAAAGTTTAATGGTAAGGATTTGCTGAACTAACAAACTGAACTGGAATACAGAAAAGGGAGGTATGAGGAGGTCCGGGGAAATAAGTCTAGAGAAGATAGGTTTGGAAAATTAATGTCTTTTTAACTGTTTTATTTTGTATGTTTCTTTTTTATCCTTTAATTTTTTTGTTATATTTTAAAAAAAATTACTCTTTTTTTCTGTATTTTGTATTTCTTCTATTTTTTGAAACTTTAATAAATATCATTTAAAAAAAAAAAGAAGAAGAAGCCAGAATTGTACAGTTAAACCCTGACATCTAGGCAAACATGTCCCTGCACTGATTTCATCTCCCAAATGTTGTGAAGCAGTACTTGCCAATCTTGCTTTATTCAGTATTCTGCATCATTGTATCAGAAGGAACCCAAATGCTATTGAAGCCAAACCCCATAGTATCCTTACCAACTCTCCATTACTGTTCCCATCCAAGCTCCTTAAAAGTCACATTAAAGGCTAAGAAGGGGCATCAAAAGTCCTTTAGATGGTACAACCTGGCCTCCTGTCATGCCTAAGAGACAGATGGCCTAATCCCGCTACTTGCCATACCTGCCTTAAAAAGCAGATTTATTTTATTGCAGATTCATGCTGATTTGCTTGCAGGGAGGTCAGATGCTGCTGCTGCATCAAAGCAAAGCAAATGTTACCCCACACTTCGCAGCACAATTTCCCATCGCGTATCGCAAAGAGTCCAATTTAGGGAGGGGGGGCAGGCTTGTTGCTCAAGACTTCCCAGCCAACTATAATTGTGCAACCTAAACCGGCTGGTACTTGTGATTGAATCCCACCCAAAAATAGCAAGCTTCTGGAAGCACCCAGAGACTTTTTGGCTTCCAAAAAGCAAAGACAGGCGGAGAAGCTTCCGTTGCTCAGGAAACTTGCCAAATTCATCCAGAAGAATCGGAGGACGGGGATAGCCCTACAAAGGCAACTCAGATATCACTTGGGGAACCGGAAATAGGACTGTCTACATCTAAAAGAAAATCTTTATAGCAAGCAACCTTCGCCGATTAGAACTGAAATTATGGCACAGCACGGGAGGTTAAGCCTTTCGAGAGCACTATTTTCCTGATCAAAATACTATCCCCATTCCACTGCCAAAAACAAAAGACAGAGGTATCATAAAGTTTCTGTATTTGATTTGAGACACACACACACACACAAACACACACACACTGCTGCAGTTAACACTGCAGGAAATGCGACCTCTGCTTTGGTCCTCCACAGATGACGATTAGCTGAGATTTCAACTGACAGTACAAATCCTTTTGATGGACATCTCCCTCTGTTCAGTGGGGCTTACAGAGCAACCCTACACAGGTTTTCTAAGAAAGAAGTCTGGGCTGAGTTCAAATGCCCTTTCCTCCCCGGTAAGCATGTGTAGGATTGAAACCAGTTAGTGTTGGGCTTTTTTCATCTGCTTTAGACGCTTCAAAAGTCTTTCCCCCCCTTTTTTGTCCTCCCTCCCCCTTGAAAGCTGCAACCACCATTTGCCCAAGGAAACAGATGGTTATCGGCAGTCTAAAAAAAATGACATACAGGCACACACACCTTCCCAGTGCTTTAAACCGTATGGGCAAAAATCCAAGAAAAGGAGAAATATTCACAGCCTGACCCTATTCATGTAAGTTAAGTCCTGCTGGATTCGATGGGACTGATTCCCAGGTTAAGAATGCAATCCCAAGGATGTCTACTCAGGAGTAAGTGAGGTCAGGATTGCTGCCCAAGGCTCCAGCCCTGCAGCCTGACCCACAACGCATGTTTTGCTAGGGCCGAAGTAATTGTGCAGAGTGGCAGTAAAAAAAAAGGGGGGGGGGACATAGCTCAAATGGAGGAAATCAGATGCTTCAATATAATGTAGCCACCCATTTCTCCCTTCCTTTCTTTCAGTTTTTTTTTGTTACCCAAGGAGAGTTTGCCTTGAAAAAGATCTGCCCAGCTGTTCCCGTGGCCTACTACTAGATAGCTTGGGATCTGGTAGATCCATCCTCAGCTCAGTCACACTTGGAGCAGCCTTGCGGGAGTTGCTCTTTCTTAACCTTAGCTCCCTCCTCCCTCAATCCTGTAAAATGGGAATAACAACGAGGCAGCTTACGAGTCTGACCAGACCCTCCAAGTGTCCCCATTTTCCAGGGACAGTCCCGGATTTACGAAAGCCGTCCCAGTTTCTGATTTGATCCCAGAATGTTCCGCTTTCCCCTTAGAATGTCCATATTTTCATCGGAGAAATGTTGGAGGGTATGGAATAAGATGCCCCTATTTTCACTGGAGAAATGTCGGAGGGTATGTGATAGGACACCCCTATTTCCATCAGAGAAATATTGGAGGGTATGCTGTTTGTGTGGAGGAGCACGAGAGGCAAATATTTTGTGTCTTAAACAACAGTACACAAAAGACACATGCAAGCCATCCTACTTGGGACATAGTGCCTTCTGCCATCCAACTGTCAACCCAGATATGCAGTCGCTAGTTGGTCCACCAGCTGCTTGTGTTCAGCAGATGTGGGGGACCTGTGGCTTTCCAGATGTTTCAGAACTAACAAGCCCCATCATCCCTGCCCATTGGTTGTGCTGGCTTGGGCTGCTGGGAACTGCGAGTCCAGCAACACCCGAATTGCCACAAGTTCCCCACACCTCCTCCAGAGGCTACCAAGGAGTTGTTTTCCCAACTTGGCCAACTTCCTCCTCGCAGTTACCCATCAGCACCTCTCAGCTGAGCCTCCCTTGGCCTCAGGAGGAAGAAAGGGACTCTGCCAAAACACAGGAGTTGCATCGCCACACCTACGTGTTTCCTGCCGCCGCCGCCTCTCAGGGCAGTCAGCATTCCGCTCTGGATCACTGAGCCCCAGCCAGAGACGAATGAGTAGGCCTGAGACAGCAGAGGAACGATGGAGACTTGACTCTTTCCCTTCCGTGCTGCAGCCCATTACTCCAAACCTGTCAATATCATCTAAGCTGATGCCAACACATGATCCCCATGTTATCAGAGCTACTGCTCTCATCAAAGAGACACCGACATATGTCGCCTTGAGCAGTGGCATAAAAACCCAGACAGCTCTTCTCTGCTATCCCCTCCATCCCAAAACTTTTTGCTGCGATGACACGGAATGCGCAAAAACATTCTAACTGCAGAGGTTGAAAAGTGTGGAATGCTGGCATTCCGCACAGCTTGCCAAGAGAGAGAAGTGAAATATTGGCTGTGTGGGTTAAAACACACACACACACCCCAAAACAAAACACCCTCACAAATGGCTAGGAACTGGAGGAGCTGAGGAAAATGAGGTCAAAGCGGCAGTTAAGGGGGAACTTGCACTCAGTGCCTAGAGGAGTGGGGAGGGGTGAAGGAAACTACAGCCAGGGGGGCTTAATTTCACGTAAGTATTTGACACGTATCATCAGATTTTCAGCTGCAGGACTCCACTTCTGTAGTACAGTGGTACCTCGGGTTACATACGCTTCAGGTTACAGACTCCGCTAACCCAGTATTGGTACTTTGCTTCAGGATGAGAACAGAAATCGTGCTCCAGCGGCGCAGCAGCAGCGGGAGGCCCCATTAGCTAAAGTGCTGCTTCAGGTTAAGAACAGTTTCAGGTTAAGAACGGACCTCTGGAACGAATTAAGTACTTAACCCGAGGTACCACTGTAATGGATTGGGATTTCAGCAGCTGGAAGTCCCAAAGCAATTGGGAAACCGAGAAGAAAGATCAAACATCCAAACACCTGAAACTACTTTTTCTCTTACTGTCCTAAGGTATTTTATTCAAGAGCTGTGAAACTCCTGCTGGGGATCTCCCAACCATCTAGGGCCACTTAAATCCAGCAACTTCCTGAGATTTTGCTGGAGTTCCACGCACATGTCCCTCTCACGCTCCCGTTTCCCTAAACAGAGTCGGAAAGCTAAACAGACCAGGATGTTCTTTTTTCCAATGTGTGCTTGTTTCTACCTGAGTCTGGGTCAGTCCAAGTTGCGCGGCCAACTCTGCCCTCTCTGGCAGCGCCAGGTACTGCGCCTTTTGGAATCTCCTCTGCAAGGCAGCCAGCTGGTAACTCGAGTAGATCGTGCGCGGCTTTCGGATCTTTTTGGGCTTCCCGTTGACCATCCGCACTTCTGGCTCGGGTTCTTCCTTCACTGAGACTGCAGAAAAGGGCAGAGGGGGGGAAGGCAGAGGAAGAACTGCATCAGAGCACAAAAATAAATAAAACCACAGCGAGTTGCTGGATCGGAACTGGAAAAGGAGTTGCGGGAAAGGAGTTTGCTTTTTATACATTTGGAGCGGCAAGCTGCCTTTCCGCAGGACGGTCCAAGTTCTCGGTCTCTGCTGGAAAAGAGAATGAATGAAAGCTTGGCTGCAGAGAACAACGTGCATTTCTCTAGGACGGCAAAGATCAGCCCTTTGAGAATGGCGGCTCAACAGAAGGGCAGGATAACTGTGATCTCCTCTGGAGACTATTTTATTTTGCTGGGCTGCTCCCCAAAACTCTTAATTTGCCCCCAAGAACCCGCCCGACTTCTGCACACCACGAAAGCATCTAACCCCCCTCCACTGGTTCCCAGAGGTGCAGAAAACATGAAAATTAGAAAACCAACCTCTGATGTCAAAGACCCATCACACAACCCTATGTGGCCTGATACATATAATGCCCCCATAGGCATGGTACCTCCATCATCCATTCCCCCCAACCCTACCCATTTCTCAGTCAACAAAACTTTGTAATCTCCATCTTTTAGGGCTAGATCGGGAAACGATGTGTGGTTTAAATGGGGTATCTGGAGCATGCTATGGGAAGCAAAGATATAGGGTTGCATCCAACCTGAGTTTCACTCAAAGTCGACCCATAGGAATCATGCATTCCAATTTCGCCCTGTCAATTCATTTCAATGGGCTTACTCTGAGCAGGTCTGGCACTGGGTACGGCATATTGTACACTTGGTTTGAACCAGTCAATTCCCCTCTCTGGAGTCTGTACCGCAGAGGTTGCTTCGAGCCAACTGTTGCTTTATTGTCTTGAGACAGAATCAACTTTACCCACAAATATTGGAAAAGACCCTTCTCCTGCCCAGTCTTCTGGGAGTCTGTACCATCCTATTCAGTGGAAGCGGAAGAGATTGCACTGATAAGATTTCAGAAAATAATCGAACTTCCCATGGTTTTAGCACTTTTCTTTTCCCTTGCCCGATATTTTTCTCGTTTTCAATTTTTCCTTCGCTTGGCTCGACTCCGGTGATTTGATCGCTGCCTGGGTTTCTGTATTCAGATTTCCCTTTCTCCCTCTGTTCTCGTCTCAGTTTCTTCACTTTTTCACCTGATGTTTTTAGCATTTCCAGGGCTGAACATGGCTGGACTTTGGCCTAGCCGGCTTTGCTCTGCTTCAAACCTCCTGGCTCGCAAAACCTGCCTCCTCCTCCATGTCCTTCCCAGTTTGCCTTTCTAAAACTGTCTCTATTTCTCAGTCTCACTCGTGTATCCATGGATATTTTTTCTCCCTGGCAGGAAGCATTGTCCGGTTACGTGGGGACAGTCGGAACCACACAGCCCCCATGTTCCCTTCCTGAAATATTTGTGGGGAGTGAGGGCGTGAATTAGGCCTCAAACGGCCGGCCAGCATCTCTAGCCTGCTTCACTTAGAAAATCGGCATGCTCATTTTTGTTGACAGAGGAAGACTTTTCTCACCTTTACACACCTCCATCCTAAACCCATGGACTTGGAGCTTTTCCATGGAGCTTTTATTTTTATTTATTTTTATTTTTAATAAAAGAAACATATTGCTTTCTTGCTGGCATCTTTTGCTTTTTAAACTTTCCACTTTATTTCCTACGTTTTAATCAGTAATACCAGATCAAATGTCTCTCCTCTTCCAATCATAAGTTGCAAAGTATCTCAAATAAAAAGTTTTGGAGAGGAGGTGAGAGAAGCCCAGCAAATTCTGCACACCTGTTCGTGCACTCACAGAAAATAAATATGTATAAACTTGGGAGAGACGGTCACAGGACAAAATAGTGGTGTTTATTTTTTAAGTGTTCGTGTTGGGGGGGGGGAATATTCTTTTTGCCTTCAGAAAATCACAGAATCAGCGGGGGAGGGGGATGTACAAAATATCAAACCCTCACTTGAACAAAAGAAGCTATTGTGATATTGTTGTCAAAGTCACTTGTAGTTTACATAAGAACAGACAGCAATCAAAAGTCACGGACCAGTTCATAATAATTTTTTATGTAGACTGGGTTATGAAGTTATACTGTTGGGTATTCCTAAACTTGTTTCTCTTAAGTACACTGAAGAAATAGATCTAGGATGGAAAAGCCGCCTTCAGATATTTTTCTCCCCTCTTTCTCAAAGTGAGAGAAGATAGTCCACCACCGCTCTTAATCCCCCTTTGACCAGGGAAAAACGTTGTAGAACCCGAAGACCTCCATCAGTGGCTTTGCTATTTCATGCCAGAATAAAGCCTGCAATGAATTCTTCATATTACATCTTTTATGGCAGAGTCTGAATGTGGCAAATGGCAAGGGAATAAGGAGGGAAAGGATGGGGCAGTAGCCCCCTTGGCTACGCTGTTGTTGCCTCTAACTTGCCAGTGGCCAGAGTTGTGCTTCTGAAAGGGATCACAGAACTGGAAACACTGTTTCAGTCTTTTAATATTGCAGGATAACTTTATGGACGGGACTAGCAATCTGGTTCAAGAGATGCAGAAACGTCTAACAGCAGCAAGCCCTGAAGTGAATGTTTGTGGATCGAGGGCACTGATTTAGCCTCATCCTAGAAGTTCAAGATTCTGGTTCAGTGGGGGTACTGGACCCCTCCAGAAAGTGTACTTGTTGTCTAGTGTGACAGAGCAAAAGAGACGTTCCCCGTGTCCAGTTTTCCTGTTCAGTTGTAATACCTTTCTCAGAAGATATTACCAAAGTATATCCTCCTTCTCTTCTATAAGTAAGAATATTTTCCAAGAGAATGGGGGGAAAGTGATTCCACTTTCTAGGAAGGTCTTAACCTCCCTGAACCCTAAAACTCCCCTTTCTCAATAGTGTCACTAACACACACACACACACACACACACACACACACACACACACAGCTTCTCATACCCTTGACTTCGCTCGCCGGGAACATAAATATTCTCCTTACCTGTTTCTTGACTGGGCAATGGCTGATCCCGGAAAGATCCATACGGCCTGTAGGAAGTGCTGTAGGGGTAATCAGATTTCGGGGAGTACGTCCCAGCACCCCCAATCCCATTGAGGTTAAATTGGGGGTGGTACGCATAATGGTTCATCGGCTGGGTGTACGTTTGGCTGGGATAATACTCGTGCTGGTTATGTGGGGTGCTGTAGTAGCCCAGATCCGTGATGGACGACTCGGGGAGCGTAGGGGAGTCCTTGGTGGCCACATGGCAACTCAGGGAGCTGGAGATGTCCGTCAAAATACTGGTGATCTTCTTATCAAAGGATCCACTCATGGTGAGAAGGTCCACGCCGGCGTTGCAAAGGTCCACCAAGTTGGGCAAAAGGAAACCAAACCCACCCACCCCTAAAAATATAAGTGTGCAAGGCTTGCTTGTAGGGTTTGGGGCAGATCTCCTCCTCTTCTTCCTCCTCCTCCTGAGTAGGCTTACTCAGTCATTGCTGCAGTAATAGCTGCTGCTGCTGCTGTTCCAGCCCTCCTCCAGGGAAAATGTGTAAGAAATCCAACCCAGCCAGCTTGCTTAAACCCTTTAATTAGGGAGTAGGGAAGGGTGGATACTGCATTCCGATTGGCTCCAGAAATATTGCCTTGCAGGCAAAACAGACTCTTCCCCCCACACTCCCTTCTCTCTTTGCCTTTTCTTTCTTTCCATCTCTCCATACTTCTTTTAATTTTTCTTTTTTTTAAAAAAAGGAGCGGAGGAGAAAACAAATGCAACCCTTTCGAAGCACACATGCACACACATATTTACATATACATGCCTCTTGGGAGCACACACACACACACATATATATATAACACCTTTGGAGAAGAGATGGATGCCCCCCCCCCAAAAAAAACCCCCAGGGTGGCTCTCCCTATATCTCCCCCCTTGACTGTGGGAGGGATTAACTGTCTTATAAAGAGGTGCATCCGTTGGGATGGGGAGAGAGGCAGACCTGTTCTGAGTTTGTTCTGTTCTGTTCACCTATGGAAAAGTGTGTTTGGGTGGCGCTGGGCCTGATTTTTTTTTGGGGGGGGTCTGTATGCGGCCTCCATCTGTCCCATTGCAGCTGGAATGGCAGAGGCACACTCAAATTGTTTAAATGATGCACAGAGCATTCGTCATCTGTTTTTAAAGCACTTCACAAACCGTTGCCGGCATTATAGTCTGAGGTGGTTGGAACCCGCCCGCCCCCCGTTAAATTAAAAGTTTCTACCTGTCCTTCAGAGTCCCCTGTGAATTCTCTTATAACACCTGGATACCTTGATGACGGATGTAGCACTTAGTTCACTTGGTTAGAGGATGGTGCTGATAATGCCAAGGTCATGGGTTCGATCCCCTTATGGGTGCGCATTCCTGCTTTGCAGCGGGTTGGACTAGATGACCCCTGGTGTCCCTTCCAACTTTATGATTCTATCATTCATTTGCAAATTGCTTTCAGGTCTTCATTACACACACACACACACACACACACACACACACACACCCCAGATCCAGCACTTGTTCATTTACAAACTGCTCTGCAAATCTTTATTATTATTATGTCTTTGCAAATCTTATTCCACCTCCCGTTCCTCCGACACGTGTACAGTGAATCCCGATTCAATCTGGCTGAAAGGAAAAGGTGGGGTTTAAACAAAGTTGTGACTGATTTCTTTGTTGCCTTTTATTGGAGGGGTAATTGTTGGCTGGACCCGAGCCAATGCACTTCTCATAATAACCGCCTTGCAAGGCAGATCCTCTTCTTCCCATTTTATTGATAAGGAAGTGAAGCCCAGAAAGCAACACGCCCAGAGACAGGATTTGAACTCCCTTCCAGATCTATTGCACCACATGTAAGCCAAAGTATCAGTCTTCCAATATGTCGTGTTCAGGGGCGCACATATGTGATGTGTGGGTTCTAAGCAGGCAAGCATTTGTGCATTTGTACAAGAATATCTGTGTCTGAAAATGTGTGTTTCTAGCTGCGTGGATAAGGGACCTAAATAAATCACATACACATTTTTACATTTAGCAAAAAGTTTCGGGTCTGAGTTTTGATAATGTTCCCATTTGGAAAGGTGAATTTTTTATAGAAAGTTTTAACTAAGCGTTTTAAGGCTTTAGCACCTATCTGGCAAAGTCGGGGCTTTTTTTGTTTGTTCTGAAATCCACCCAAGCCAGCTGTTTCCAAAATTAGGCAGACTGAAGAACCTCCGCATGAATGAATTTCTGCAAAGCGTATTCAAGTTAGGGAAAGTTGTGGGAGAATTTCCCACTGGCTGCTATGTTGGTATCCTTCTTCTTACTGTATAAAGCAGTTGTGAGGAACCTTTGGCCCGCCAGATGGGGCCAAACTAGAACTCCCAACAGCACCAGGAAGCAACCAAACATGTCCTGTGCTTGTCACAGTGTACTTCTTGGATTTCGTGCCTACCTTCCAGTACAGAATCATGTGGGGGACAAGATAGTTCAGTGGCTCAAAAGTGTTGGCCCCAACCTGAGTTCAAATCCCACTTTTCCCACAGACTTAACTTTGGGCAAGTCTTTTATAGAAGGCGATAAATTAAGCTGATGATAACAACTGTCCCATCGCTGCTAATGACCCCAGTGGCTGAACAGGGATTCCATCTTCTCTCCCTATGCAAATAGTAGCTTTGGGTGAGCAGGCAGATTTTAATTCGGACTATTACAGTTGGGGGGGGGGGAGTTAAATTCACCATGCTACATGGACCCGATCCGCCATGCCCACGTGCTGCTGTGAAAACAACCGCACAACTTAAAATAATGCTGGCCGCATTGGCCGCAAGAGAGGCATGAAATACTCACCCCTTAATAAAAATGGAAATATATACGGACCCAATGCTAGTCCTACTCAGAGGAGACCTGTAGACATTCATGAATCTAGGTTTGTCATGTCCATTCACTTCGGTGGGTCTAATCTGAATAGGACCAGCATTTGGTACAACCCATTGGCTGTGTGTGTCCCCTTTCTTAAAAAGCAAAACAAATAAACAATTATTTACTTCTTAATTCTGTTACAGTGGTACCTCGGGTTACAGACACTTCAGGTTGCAGATGCTTCAGGTTACAGACTCCGCTAACCCAGGAATAATACCTCGGGTTAAGAACTTTGCTTCAGGATGAGAACAGAAATCGTGCGGCGGCAGTGGTGCAGCAGCAGCGGGAGGCCCCATTAGCTAAAGTGGTACCTCAGGTTAAGAACAGTTTCAGGTTAATAACAGACCTCCAGAATGAATTAACCCAAGGTACCATTGTATTATTTTGTCTTGCCGCCTGCCTGTCCTCATGAGCCTCTTGCTTTTTACGTTGTCCTTGGCTACTGTGCTTTGAAGGGACAGCCCCATGTGTGGGAATGCGCCCACAAATAGATGCCTTTGCGCAACATCTCGCAATCCTATGTGTGATTCATTGCTCCCATCTCCCTGAGCCCACAGACCTGTATTTCCGAGACTCTGAGATATGTTGTTGTCTCGCTTTCCATATATGCAAAAATGTGGCAACTCGTCATGCGCTTGCTAAAGGATCGAGGTTGAGAGCTGCGGATTGTGGGTGTAGCAGATATTTCTGGTGCCAAGGAAGAAAGGAAGCTGCCTTGGGCTGAGAGAAACCAATGATCCATCTGGTTTGGGGTTCTCTGAACTAGACAGCTACTCTTTTCCAGGGTTTTGGGGATGGGGCAGTCACAGCCCTGCTCGGAGATCCCATTGGGGAATGAACCTGGGACCATTGCACTACCACTGAGCTACTGGCATATGGGTTTGTGTGTTGGCTGGGGATAAAGGACAGGTGGAGTTGTGCGATGGCAAAGAATGCTGGAGAACATTTGTGTATGTGGCGAAGGTTAGGGCGTAGATGGATTTAAATATGCGTAAGGCCACAAGGTTCATCTCTGAGCACATGGCTGAGCAGTGTTTGTTTTTTAGAAAACTCACCATGAAGTTGTGACAGTAAGTGCCACAATTTTTAACCCCCCCAAAGGTACCGTTACCATTGAGTACCCCCTGGGGGAAAGCACTGGGCAGGAGACTGAGCACATAGGGGAAAGATAATCCATGGGGTGTGTATGTTTAGGGATGGTGAAAATTGGGAAAACAGAAATGTATGGGATGCACTATTTAGAGCCAAAATAGTTTGCAAAAACACCACGTGGAACGGAAGCCGCAGCCTTCGAGAACTGGGCATTTCAAAACGTCAAACGTTTTCTTCTGCAAAACTGGATACATTTGTGTGTGTTTTCCCCGACACTTTTGCTTCACCGAATGCTAAGCCTCGTTGATGGATCTGAAAGCAACTTGGCCCCAGATTCAGTAACAGATTCAGCCCTGGGTTTCTGAGGCTGCAATCTTGCTTCTGAGCAGAAGTGTCCAGGACGGCAGTGCAAAAGTCTGAACTGAAAAACAGGCTCCACAATGAGGAATGATCAAATCAGAACAAATGATGAGACTTGATAGACTCCCCTCCGATCTATTCCAACACTTTTCTAAGAATTTTTCTCTGGGTTTGTCTCCATGTGCATTCATTATCATTTATTTGCAAAAACGCCTGTTCCACCAATTAAGGGGAAAACACCGTGGTGGTCAACAACAAAAAACCCAGCAATTAAAAAAACAAGTACAAAATACATCACAAAGCAGTAGATCGACTTAATCCATCACCCCTCAAGGAAAGCTTGAGTGACGAGCTTAGTTTTAAGCAGGTGCCTAAATGCGGGTACAGTAGGTGTCTACCTGATGTTAATTTGAAGTACATTCCAAAGTGGCAGGTGGCACCACACTAAAAGTCCTGCTCTCGGTGGATATAAAGCAAACCTAGAGACCATAGAAGTAAAGGATCCAAGCGGCAGGATGGGGATGTAAGATGAGACACCTTTGGTCACCACAAGGGTCAGGTGTGAAGGGGGTAACCAGAATCTGCTTGTTTCAGAGGGATCTAGTGAATCTAAGCATCTCAGAGTTTCAGCTTGTTCTCGTCCCAGCAAAGATGCTCGCTGTACGCAGCCATTTGACACCTCCAATATGGGACATGCATGGTTGCAGTGTGAAAAAGATAAACTTTTGTTTCAAAAATTATTAGTGCTGGCCTGCCATTTGTTCCTGACTTAATTGCATTTATATGCCAGCTTTCTTCCACAGAGCAAAACATGGTGTGTGGTTCTTCTCCCATCAGTCCTGTGAGGTAGGTTAGTCTGACTGGGCCAAAGTCAACAGGTGAAATTCATGGCTGAGCGGGGATTTGAAACTTTGGTCTCCCAACACTCTGGTGCTCTAACCACTCCGCCACCCTGTCCT